AAAGTATAAAAATAAGCATATAAAGTTTTTACATTTTTTACATTTTAAGTACACAAAATTAATTTTATTTAATAACCAATAATAATTATTTGTACTGTAACTGTTGAAATAAATATATTTTTGTAAATCTTGTTTATTTTATTATATTGCATTGTATTATCTTAAAACAATTTCCTTAGACTAAATTTTAAAATTAATATTACTCATATATTGGGACTTCCGTTTCCGTTGAGTGAGAAAAGGTTCTGTGTGAGATCTGGGTGTTAAGTTCTGACAGCGTGTGGCTGGTGAAGGTGTGGAAGGAGAGTCTGTGTGAGTGGAGAGTGGGCGGTGAATGGTGAGAGCGGTTTGAAAGGTGGAGTGGAAGTGAGAGGGAGCGCGGATAACGAGAAAATAGGGTGAAGAGGGTGCGTGGAGAGGTTAGGATTAGGAAAGCGCGGAAAGAGCAAGGGATTTAGGGGGCAGAAAGTACAAAAGGTGCAAGGTTTGTTCTTTCTTGCGGCATTTGAAGAGTTACAAAGTGTGGAAGGTGTAAAGGAGAACAGGGTGCGTTCTTTTTGAATTTTTTTAGGGGAACTTTTAACAAGGGAAATGGAATCGGAGAAAAAAGATAAGAAAGGAGCAAAGACAGAAGCAAAAACGAGAGGTAGAATGGGTAGTTCAGGAGACCTGTGCTTGAGAGTGATTGGAGAAGGAAAAAGGATAGCAATGAAGAAATGGTTGTTTAAAAGAAAGAGGGAAATGGAGTATAGTGAGGACGAGGATTCAGAAATGAGCGAAAAAGAGCGAGAGGATAAATGGGCGTTTAAGAAAAGCAATAAATTGAGTAAGTCACCGATAAAGAGAGATAACCCAATTGTGACAGATAGTGAGAGAGAATATATGGATAAGTGGTTAGAGACATTAGAGACAAAAGATTGGGAACAGATCAAGGAAGAGATTAGAAAGAAGAAAATAATAAGAGAAGAGATAATAGAATTGAGAAAGATAAAGATAGAATTTAAGAGAGATATAGAGAGAATGCGGAAAGAAATGAAGGAGAGAGGCGGAAGTAAAGAAGGAATTGGAAAGAATGAAAGAAGAATTTAGAGTAAAGGAGAAGGAGTGGGAGGAAGAAAAAAACGCTTTTAAAAGTAGATTAGAAGCATTAGAAGAGTCTTGGAAAAGAGTAAAAAAGGTAGAGGAAAGAGTAGAGGGGAAAAAGGAAGCAGTTGGAAAAAACAAGACGGGGATGGCAGTAATAGAAACAGGAGTAGAGGAGAGACTAAAGGAATTAGAGAGAAAAGCCGAGATAAAAGAGAGAGAACAGAGGAAGAAAAATATATTAGTTAGGGGGTTAAAATCAAAGAGTAGAGAAAAAAAAGGAGTGAAGAAAGTGTTGAAGGAAATAAAAGCGCAGGTAGAAATAGTAAAGATTAGGAGGGTCAGAGTAGGTAAAGAAGAAGATAAATGTATAGTGGTAGTAGAATTAAGGAAATGTAGATCAAAAAATTGAAATAATGGAAAAGAAAAAAAGTTTAAATGGAAGAGTGGAGAGGATATTAGATAATTTGACATGGAAAGAAAGGAAAATGCAATGGAGGTTGGGTGAGATAGCTAGAAAGGTCCTGGGCGAGTTTCCCCCACCTTGACGTGGTGCCCAGGCTTAGGGGAGCGTTGATCCGATGGGCTATGCTGGCGGGGGCTCTTTTGAGTCCCTGGCAGGGTCACCCATGCCAGACAGGCCATCGGGGAGCTCCTGAACTAAGAGGGGAAATAGAGGAATGGAAAACCTCAATAAAAAACCCGGAGTTCCCAGCTCCGTTAGTCCCCACGGACGGGGACAACTGGGATAGGGGAGTAAACCCTGACTTCAAATCCGGGGACGTCCGACCTCGTCAGCCACGGTGCAGTCGGACTAGGGGAGTAAACCCTGAGTACAAATCCGGGGTGTCCAGCTCCGATAGGCGCTTTCGGGTCGGCCACTGGACTAGGGGAAGGAAAACCCTGAATTCAAACCCGGGCAGGATGGGCTCGTTACCCTTGGCTGGGAGCCGTCCTAGGTGAAGGACACACCGAAATAAAACCAACCTTAATTACCCATATGGATATGTCGAAAATTAAGGAGAAAAACGTANCACAAAAAAAGATATATGATGCTGATACAAAATCGCTAATATTTCAAGGTAATGTTGTTAGCAGATGTCCAATCCTACGATATGCCGTTTTACAGCTGACAATTTTAACAATAACATACTATTGAGACCATCTTTTGTCAAACGGCGGAAACTTATTTATACTCCTAATATATATATATGCATACACATATATTTAACGAAATAATTTTTTTCCTCAATATAGGATGCTGGATTTGCATCACGTATATATGAAGGACCCCGTATACTCCCCTAACTAATTTTAAAATATTGCGAAAAAAACTCCTTAGCCAGGAGTCGAACATGGAATCTCCGGCTTTCCGAGCCGTCGCTTTCCCTGTTAGGCTACCGAGGCACTTGAAGCTTGTCTCGCAATACTCAGCACATCTATTGAATGTAAATCTGATAATAACGCCGTCTCCCACCAGCGTAAATCTTAAATTAATAATGAAGAAGAATAAGATTCTTCAATGAATTAAATTCGGGTTGTTTTTTTCACAATATTTTAAAATTAGTTAGGGGGGTATACGGGGTCCTTCATATATACGTGATGCAAATCCAGCATCCTATATTGAGAAAAAAAATTATTTCGTTAAATATATGTGTATGCATATATATATATTTAAGCACGTTCTCTGCACAACATCCTGCAAAACGGCTCGAACAACCCGAATTTAATTCATTCATTTGTTTAACATATCCTCTGATTCTTTCCTTTGAAACGGACGGAGTATCCGCGGTTTGGAACTGCTTAGTATAGCTTCTGGTCGTCGTTCTAACTTCGTATTCTAACCTCGTGCAAGAATTTTACTATTTAAACTACTTTCTCATCTTCGAAAATTCAACTTCAAGCTTACTCTAATAAAAAAACAAACATTATTAATCAACTCACTAATTATTAACTTAAGTGGAACCTTGTCCTCGCAAATACACGTCCCTGTCCTTGTATCAGCGGGCGTTTGACCATAGTACTGTTTGACACCAAATTATTGGATACAAAATTATTGGACACAAATTTATTTGACATAAAATTATTCGATATAGTACTATTAAACACAGTACAAGTGACAAGCAATGTGCATCGTGACGATTAATGATAGTAGTAACACAGGTTAGGTTAGGTTAGGTTAGGTTAGGTTAGGTACGAGTGGTGACCTGGGCGAGTTTCCCCCACCTTGACGTGGTGCTCAGGCTTAGGGGAGCGTTGATCCGATGGGCTATGCTGGCGGGGGCTCTTTTGAGTCCCTGGCAGGGTCACCCATGCCAGACAGGCCATCGGGGAGCTCCTGAACTAAGAGGGGAAATAGAGGAATGGAAAACCTCAATAAAAAACCCGGAGTTCCCAGCTCCGTTAGTCCCCACGGACGGGGACAACTGGGATAGGGGAGTAAACCCTGACTTCAAATCCGGGGACGTCCGACCTCGTCAGCCACGGTGCAGTCGGACTAGGGGAGTAAACCCTGAGTACAAATCCGGGGTGTCCAGCTCCGATAGGCGCTTTCGGGTCGGCCACTGGACTAGGGGAAGGAAAACCCTGAATTCAAACCCGGGCAGGATGGGCTCGTTACCCTTGGCTGGGAGCCGTCCTAGGTGAAGGACACACCGAAATAAAACCAACCTTAATTACCCATATGGATATGTCGAAAATTAAGGAGAAAAACGTA